CTTTAATATGGTGGTAAAAATGTCCGATCAGAATTTAATAAAGTGTAACTTATAGCGCCTCGAAAGTCAATGAAGAAAAGTGACTTTTTTTGCCCCCCCCCCTGTATTGGTCATGCCTGCTCTATGAAGTTACCTCTAAACCAGCCAGTTTGCCGAGTCTTCACTCCTTTATTCTGAAAAGAGGGGTGAGCGTACATAAAAAAGGTTCCAACCCACAATACACTTACTATGCTGGTCTCCAGCGCCCGAGCAGAATTAGTTCGCATCCATACTTCGCAATTGCGATTCGACTTGATCGCGGACTGTACCTTTGAGCCGCGAAGTTTGAATTGTTGAATGAGAAATTCAGCAGTTTCCGGATTTTCACTCAAAAGTTTTACGAAGGGATAGGCTTTCGTAGTTCTCTACGCATCCATGAGATCTGTATTAATAATATCTCATGGGGGCAGCAACATTTTTCTTGCTCATCCTTGTTGGAAACTCACCTTCCACAGGTTACTCGAAAGCAAGAAAAAGATCGATTGAGACTGCCGGCAATAACCCAAAAAGTGATGGAGAAAGTCATGAGCCACCGGTGGCTCAGATTGTCCCACGTGGCCACTCACTCATGAGCCACCGGTGGCTCATGATGTCGTCAACGTGTTAAAAAGAGAATTTATGCGTCCACCACGCACTCCCACCTTCGAGTAGACAAACTCGTAACAGAGCTAGGCAGAGAAATATTTCATGGTAGCGGACCAGATAGGATCTAATTTTATCATATTGTCCAGTTAACTGGCTATTTCCAGGTGTCTTCAAAATCAATGCAGATTGGATGGAAAAATACGGTCTGGAATATGAAACTGCCCTTGTTTGAGGTACGACTCCAAAGCAGAAATCTAAGCGAGATATCAGTTCTATCCAGGTATACAGTAAGGTGCTCAGTCTACAACTAAAGAAAAGTTTGACCAATGTATATTCGAGAAAAGTCCCACCATTGTTTGAAATGCCCCATGAGCTCGAAAGCTTTTGCAGCGCCCACAGCTGGAATTTCATGATCTGTGTTATTAAGAAATCATGGAGATATGTTTAGTCGCGTATTTATTTCCTCTGTTTAATTGATGTTCTTTAATCGATTTGAAATAAAAATTAAAATATTAGTTCATTCGAATCTGATAATCAACAATTGATGAAAAAACATATCAACATCTGGAAACATGTAACAAAACAACTCCTCAGGATTTACTACTTACATACATCAACTCAAAATTTACTAAACTTTTTCATACTTGGACTGTCTTGAAGGTGAAGGAACCTGAAAAAAACGCAGTAAATAAAAGTGAAAACCCCCTAAAATATGGATTGTTCGGCAAGAACTGCAAAAAAAAGATGTAGAACAAAACCTCACCTTCTTTTCAAGTTCTCTATTCGCCGATTCTGCTCAATCTGCCGAATTCTTAGAGCTCTCCAGTACTGCCAGCCATCCTTGAATTGACATACATTACACTGATAGAATGTAATGTGAACAAACCAAAAAGCCTACCTTTTCAGGGTCGAGGTCTTCGAGAGGTCGCGGAGGCCGTAAGTCTAGCTCAAAAAGCCAAGAGGGATACTCAGAGTCTGGCAGTATTTTAGGACCAGGTTCTTCTCCTAAATTAATTGTTAATCCATTGAGACCACAACCAAGGAAACCTTCAACAAATAGGCCGCGATCAAATTTGCGAGCATGAAGAATCCGCTATCCTTCTTCACGAGTCGCGGATTCTCCTCGTTCGCAGAGCATAAACGCAACCTTCTTAAAACTTCAAAGCGCCCGAAGATCACCATTGGCATACTCTATCATAAATTTCGTTGTCAAAGGAATACTTATGCACTTAGAAGTGGTTCGTTAGAAAGGGGATCTTGAAGAGCACTCCCATAATGCTTGTGGTTCACAGACACGACTGACTGGCGATTGGTTTGCCACGAATGTTGGGTCACTGAGGGTACATACTTACACTGAATTTTTCGTGCTCGACCACGCCCCTAAAACATCGGCGAACGTCCCTAGATTAATAGGGTTTGGTTGCAGAATCACCATCCCTTCTAGATAATCTGGAAAAGGATAGAAAGTCATCTCGCTGTCATCCCACGTATGGCGGTTAGCAGTCTAAGGAGAGCTTTCAACTGAGTTTTTGCATCAAATAATCAGAGCCTACACTTCTAAAGATGAAGTGAGGTATAGATGCTCATGCGAACTCAGTTTGAGGAAGCTGCGGTTCGTGAAGAAGCTGCTTCCTTCATCAGAAACCAACAGATATGGAGCCTTTCGTCGATCAGAGCGAAAAATTTCTAGCGTAGTCAGTATTTTCAACAGGAACAGTGCAGCACACACCCCGGCGTTAAGAATGTCTAGCCGCGACTATGACAGAGGCGGAAAAAATGGCTCTCCCCTTTGCAATCGGTAGCGATCGCAGGACAGTTCTCCTTGTTCCAAATGCTAGAGCCGTTTTCCGAACCAACTCTATACATGAATGAGAAAAGCCTTATGTCTCGAGCTAATATCTAACGCCGCATCGCGCCGGTCTGCTTTGTGAAGGGTAGCATCCACAAGGTGCTCAGTAAGTGGCAAGAACCCGGCAATAACAATACTGTACATTTTGGTCTTATATGTCTCTCTATATGAAAAGAAGGACCAATTCTCAGAAATGCGACAGAACTCTCCCGCCAACCTAATATAAGGAAGACTGTAACCACCAACATGTGATCTGAAACCCTTCCGCATACTCTTTTTCCGCGGACCTTTAACCACGCCCATTAGATAAAGCTAACGAAGGAAAAAATGGTGTCATCTTGGACAGGGCTATTGAAAGAGTCTAAAACCAACTGTAATAAAACAGTTACAATTGAAAACTTGAAAGTCACCGCAAAAGATAGCCGCGCGACGAAAAGACAATCAAATCGGGAAACAAATAAACACACTTGTTTCGAGACAATATGTTCGAATTAATGGAACTACGCATTTACTTATCCAGAAAAATGATATTTATACTTTCCCGAACTCTGGACTAAGACCGTGCTCAAACTTCGCGATCGTATCGCACGAACGATTGGATCGCGATGTGTGAACGCGGTCTAGCACATGGACAAACGAACGAACCTTGTATAAAGTAGTTTATACAGACGAATTTCGACAACTTTTCGGCATCCTCTTCGACAAAGCTCTTGTCGACCTTGCCAGGGACCACCTTCGCTCCGACAGCAGCATAGTGCCTTCTTGAAACCGTCATAGCTCGAGGAAAACAAGCTAGTTCCTGCCAGCGTGCTAACACACGCCGCAGCATAGCACTACCTTGAAAAAAAACGTGCCGTTATTCAGCGTGCCGGAAAAGTCTAAGTCGCGGAAGGTATAGTGCGTCCAAAACGCTTGTGTACGAACACACATGAACACACATTTAACCTTTATGATTAAGATCATAAATATCACCAGAGGTAAAAGAAAAAGCCCGCATCGAGCACGAAAGTCAATTATACAGTACTAATATATCAATCAACTCAGCTTTCGAACTGAAACATCACAAAAAAATCTAGTTACTATAAGTAAGCATGGTAATTCCATATTGTCCAAGTTCTCCTTGTTAGAAACTCTAAGAAATCGTGCATATGAGGAAACGTGTTTCACAAACTGGGGATTGTAAAGAGGTCATAAAGAAATTAATGATAGAAAGAC